TGGGGCAGGGCGTGGGAGGTGGAGGGGGACACCGGGCTGGGGGTCCAGAGCCACCGGGATAGGGATCCTCATCTGAGGTGGGGGTCCAGAGTGCTTGGAATGGGAATCCAGCCCTGGGGATGGGGGGTCCAGAGCCCCGCAGGATACAGTTCTCACCCCAGGATGGGAGTTCAAGGTACCTGAGATACAGATCCCGATCCAGGGTGGGGATTTAGAGCTACCTTGGGATACAGATACTTTTCTGGTGGGATGAGTGTCCACAGCCTGTGGGATGCATCTCCCACCTCGGGATGAGGATCCAAAGCCTGTGGGATACAGATCCTGGCCTGGAATAGGGGTTCAGAACCTCTGGGATGCAGATACTGACCTGGAATAAGGGTTCAGAGCCTCTGGGATGGGGTCTGGAACAATGGGATAGGGGTTCAGACCCTGCTGAGATGCATCTCACAGCTCGGGATGGAGGTCCAAAGCCCTTGGTTTACAGATCTCAGTGTGGAGTGGGAGTCAAGAGCCCCTTGGGATGCAGATTGTGACCTGGGATGGGGGTCCAGAACCTTTGGTATGCATGTCCTGACCTGAGAGGAGGGTTCAGAGCTCTCAGGACAGAGGTGAAGGGCCCCTGGGATGGGGTCTGGAACCACAGGGTCCAGACCCTCCTGGGATGCAGATCCAGCCCCATGGGAAGATCTCTGGGTATGACATCTGTTCAGGCTGCAGCCTCAGCACATTGGTTTTGTGTCTAAGTGTCTTAGAGGTGTCTCAGTGTCCTAAGTGCCTCTGCCGGGCTGGGAATGGGAGTGTGTGCCAGAAGGGCCTGACTAAAGGGATTTGTCCCTGCACATGTGGCCCAAGTCCTTATTTTGAAGGAAAACTCTATTTCGATTAGTCAAGTTAAGTTGTGTTGGTTGTGTCACATCTACCCCTGGGTTGGTTTTTTTAACCTTGTAGTTTATAAGCTCCATTGGACACTGACAGGGATGGTTTGGGACAGAGTTTCTGGGGGTTTTAATGTTGGGGTGTTTTTTTACTTAGAATTTTACTGAGCTACTATGTCTGTGAGTGGTTTAAATTGGGGTTTTAGTTGGGTTAGGAAGTGTTGTGTATGTTCATATATAAATACATTGTTAGGGGTTAATATATTTTATGACTAACCATATATAGTTGTATATTGTTATATATAGTACCATATATTGTTAGATATGGTTATATATTAGGGATCTGTGTCCAAGGGCCTCTGGACCTCTATCCCAGGGGCTCTGGAGAATGTTGACCCCTGTCCACACTTGGGATCTGTATCTCAGGACACCTGCATCCTGGAGAATTTGGACTCCCATCCTGGGGGGCACTGGGCCTCCATTCTGTGGTTCCAGACGCTATTCCAGAGGCTCTGGGTGCTCATTCCAGTGTTTTAACTATTCATATATTAGTACAATTATGAATACATATTGTAACATGTTAATGTATTAATATGTATTGTTATGTATTATCTATATTGTTACAGATGAATTTATTTTGTAGCTAATCATAAGTACATATATGTGGTTATATGTTGCTAGATCATGAAATCGTCAAGGTTGGAGGAGACCTCTAAGATCAGGTCCAACCCTTAACCTGTCACTGCTGTGACCCCTAAATGAGATCCTCCAGTGCCACATCCAGACACCTCTTTAAACACCTCCAGGGATGGTGACCACCACCTCCCTGGGCAGTATCCCAGTGCCTGAACACCCTCACAGGGAAATGATGTCTCCCAACATCCAAGCTAACACTGTCCTGGCTGAGCTCAAGGCCATTCCCCGTAGTCCTCTCCCTGCAGCCATGGCAGGACAGACATCCCCCACATCTCTCCCAAGTCTGTCAGGGAGTTGCAGAGAGCCATGAGGTCACCCCTGAGCCTCCTCTTCTCCAGGCTGAACAACCCCAGCTCCCTCAGCCTCTCCTCATGGCACTTGCGCTTGAGTCCCTTCACCAGCCTCGTTGCTCTTCTCTGCACCCACTCCAGCACCTCAATATCCCTCCTGAACTGAGGGGCCCAGAACTGAGCACAGGATTCAGGGGGTGGCCTCACCACTGCCAAGTGCAGGGGCAGAATCACCTCCCTGGTCCTGCCGACCATGCTGGTCCTGATGCAGGAATGATACGTATGATACGTGTGATACGTGATTTAGATGTTACATATCAGCATGTGAGATAGGTACCATCTATAATTCTACAGTTACAATTGTCTTAATACAAATATAATAGTGCTATTAATAGATTCATTTGCATTAATATGGTAGTAACTTCTGGTATGGAGCTGAAGCTCCTCCACCACCAAACTTTTCTGTCCCATTTCTCCCTGGCAGTGGAGTGGAAGCCAAGCAGCCCAACTCTGCCATCAGGAAGTGTGTCAGGGTTCAGCTGATCAAGAATGGCAAGAAAATCACAGCCTTTGTCCCCAATGATGGTTGCCTCAACTTCATCGAGGTAATTCCCCTCAAAAACTCCATATTCAGTGGGAAAAAAAGCATGATTAGCCCATTTAGAGGGTGATCAGACCACAGCTGGGTCAACACCCTCCATACTTGCACTTCTTGAGAATTGTTGGGTGTGGCTGGAATTGTGTGTATTGTTTCAGCCCAGGTTTGAGTGTTTGCTCCTCTCCCCATGCAGGAGAACGACGAAGTCTTGGTGGCAGGGTTCGGTCGGAAGGGCCATGCGGTCGGGGACATCCCTGGAGTGAGATTCAAGGTGGTCAAAGTGGCCAATGTGTCCCTGTTGGCCTTGTACAAGGGCAAGAAGGAGAGACCCAGGTCGTGATTCCAGAGTGATCCAGCCAGAGTGTCAATAAATTCCTTGACCTGAAGGAGTTCTGTGTGTTCTTGAAGGGGGAGGAGAGGGTACTGGTCACAAAGGTCTTCCCATAGAAGCTGAAAGTGAAATAGTCACTAGGTCTGGCTAAAAACCCAATTCTTTTTGTTTCTCTTGGGTTATCCATCAGGAATCAAAATGTCCCCCAGGGCAATCATGGTCAAGATGTGTAAGTTGGATATTAGGAAGAGATTTTTTACAGAGTGGTTAGGCATTGGAATGAGCTGTCCAGGGAGGTGGTGGATTCACCATCCCTGGAGATTTTTTAGATGAGACTAGATGTGGCACTTAGTGCCATGGGCTAGTAACCACGGTAGGGTTGGACTAGATGATCTTGGAGGTTTTTGCCAACCCGGTCGAGTCTGATTATGGGATGGGTGTTACAGCAGTGGCAGGTTAAGGGTTGGACTCGGAGATCTCTTCCAACCTTGATGGTTCTGTGAGAGAGAACTGTGCTAATTTAATGCATAATGGTGAAAAAAAGCATTTCTCCTGGAAAGTGGTGGCGAAAGGGCTCAATGGTGTGTGGTGTGAGCTCCTGGCACAGAACTCAAAAGGTTAGTTAACCACTTATCCAACCTCTGGCCATGGAATTCCACAGAGCACCGAACAGGTTTTTGGAGGGCAAATCTGCCCTGTTTCAGTGCATTCAGTGTTTCACTGCTGCCCCCAACTTGGGTGTGCTTGAGTTGGGGTTTTAGCCTTCCTGGGTGGAATAACGATACTTAGATGTTAAGGGTTATATATCTCTTGAGATATTTAAGATACTTGCGATTTTTTTTTTACTGCGGTAAAACCTATAAAGCCTCAGAAAACAGTTATTTGGCTGAGAAAAGTGTGAACAATTCCCTTGTTGGGATCACAACTCATCCATGTGATGATGGGAAAGTGCTTCAATTAGAGATCAATTTCAATGGAAATTTATAGGAAATTGAATAATTAAAATAAGTTACAGGAAAAGTCAATAATTTATATGGAAATGGAGTCAAAAACATCAAGAACAGGTTGGGGATCTGTTGAGGTTTGTGCAGCAAGACGTGAAATTCCTTGGGGAGGGGAGAGGAAGATTTGGAGCCACAGGAGATTCCCAAAGTTCCTAGGTGATGTCGCCACTAGATGTCGCGTCTGGTACAAGGAAAAGGAAAAGCTGAAACAAGGTTTGAGCCAAAACACCCCAAACCTTCCAGAGTCGGGAAATTCAGCCCAAACAGTGTGCACAGAGCCACGAGAGCTTCTGGGGTGGATTCACCTGGAATTTTGGGGCAAAGGCACGGAAAGGGAAGAGCAAAGGTGCTCGTGGCTGCATCAGTCGTGATTACTGTGCAGGTTTGGTTGAATTGGGGTCTCTTTGGTTGTTTGATTGAGATGCAGCAGAAGTGATGCTGCTGGGAGAGGAGGGGAAGGTGTCAAGTACCAGGAGAACACGCTTGGAGGTGCTGGTGGGTGAGAGGTTGGACATGCCCCAGCCCATGACATCCCTTATGACCTGGGCTGATCCCCTCAGTGTGGGCAGCAGGTGATGGGGAGGATTCTGCCCCTCTGCCATGCTCAGGTGAGACCCATCTGGAGTGTTGCTTCCAGCTGTGGAGCACCAACAGCAGAAGGACATGGAGCTGCTGGAGCAAGTCCAGAGGAGACCACCGGGATGCTCCAAGGGCTGCCATGGAGCCAGGCTGGGAGAGCCTGTGGTGTCCAGCCTGGAGAAGAGAATCATAGAATCAACCAGGTTGGAAAAGACCTCCAAGACCATCAAGTCCAACCCTACCATGGTTACTAGACCATAGCGCTAAGTGTCACATCTAGTCTCATCTTGAAAACCTCCAGGGACAGTGAATCCACTACCTCTCTGGGCAGCCCATTCCAATGCCTGACTACTCTCTCTGTAAAAAATCTCTTCCTAATATCCAACCTAAACCTCCCCAGCAGAGCCAGAGTCTGTGAGAAGCCCTAGGGAGACCTCAGAGCCCCTTCCAGCACCTAAAGGGCCTCCAAGAGAGCTGTAGAGAGACTTGGGACGAGGCATAGAGGGACAGGACACAGGGAATGGCTTCCCATTGCCAGAGGGCAGGGAGAGATGGAATATTGGGAATTAATTCCTCCCTTTGAGAGTGCTGAGGCACTGGCACAGGTTGCCCAGAAAAGCTCTGGCTGCTCCATCCCTGGGAGTGTTCCAGGCCTGGTTAGATAGGGCTTGGAGCAACCTGAGCTACTGGAAGGTGTCCCTGCCCGTGGCAGGGGTAGAATTGGATAGTATTTAAGGTATTTCCAACCCAAACCATTCCATGGTTCTGTGAGTGTGTCAGTGTCAGGGAGTAACTTGTGTTATGTGGACACTGCAGAAAGAAGTCAGAGAAAGATGAGCTGAACCAAATCTCATCACCAAGTCACTATTAGAGGGGTTTTAAGGCCAAAAATATGTGTTATATGACCCAAATCCTCCAAAACAGGGGAATCCATCCCCAAGGGCTGGAGAAGACAAGGAACTGGTGCAGTGTATGGAACTGTCCATGCTCCTACTTCACTAGGAAACCTAATTAATATCTTCTGATATTAAAGCAGTTGGTTAATCGTTTGATGCTAAACAGCACCTGAGTGAAAAATAACACTAGATCAGGAAGAGATGCTTCCCATCAGTATTGATGAAGAAGGTGTTCAAATCCACTCTCTTTTCAAACACAGCAGCAAACTCCTCTCTCACAAAGCTGAGATTAACCTTCAGCAGGTGACAGCTACAACAGCCTATTAAGGGGGTGAAGTGAAATCTTCCTAAAGAGTCTAATGAAACCCAGGACATAGAGATAACAGGTGTGACACCTTCTTAATCCTTCCTGAGTGCTCCATATGTGGTTAGTTTCACAACTCTGAGCTTCAGGTATTCCTTTTTTCTTACTCTAGGTGGTAAGAATTTACAGCTAGGAAATGCTCTGAAATCCCTGGAACAGCTTTGAAAGCCTACATGCTGCTAAAAATAGGCACATATACCCATACACATGCTGTTCTTTGAAAGAGTATTTTTAAGGAAGTAATTGTGGCTTTGCCACTCAGAGGGAAGAGCAATTGTCGATCCCTTTATGCTGGGACTGAATTTATACAGAATATCCATACAGATGTCCAAACAAACTCATGAAAACATCATCACAGCTAACAGGGATGGGGAGGGAGAAAAGACGTTATTGAGAAAGTTTAGCTGAAATTTGTAGAGTTGCAGCAAGAATGTACATTGATTTCTTTGTTATGTTGACCTGTAATTAAACATCTCAGCACTTAACTGGGCAGAAAGGAATGTTCCTGTTCGTCACCAAACCAGCCAAGCTCAAACCTCCTGGCAGGTGTGGGTGAATTCTTACCTGGTCATGCTGACACAAATGAGGGATTAGGGAGGTCGTTGGCAGCTGCATCTCACAGGAGAAAAAAAAAAAGGCACATTTTTGTGGCTTAGGTGAGCACATTAAATGAATTCTTCCTGATGCTGCTTGTACCCAAGGATAGGTCTGAGTCATTCCTCCCAGAAGTCCCCCAGAAGCAATGGTCCTCGATGTGTCTGCCCAGATTAGAATGAGTAACTGAGCACAGTGACAAAACAAAAATGGAAATTGTCTTTTTTTTCTGGTAGGATTTGAGAGTTCAGATAACACAAGAAGACAAAACCCAAGTCCATGTCTAAGAGTCTTCAATAGATTCACTAAATAAAATGAACAAATAGTGCTGAGATTCACTTGATTTATAAATAAAAACCAAAACAACAGATTTTTACATATAAAAATGTGTTTAAATGATCCTCCAGATCATTGAGTGCATCCTCAGCAAGTTCTCTGACCACACCAAGTGTGTGGAGCAGTCACAGCTGGAGGGAAGGGATGGGACATCCACAGGGACCTTGACAGACTTGAGAGGCCAATGCAAACCTCA